TTCATGAACTTAAAAATGTTTCTGGATAGCCTCTTCCAGTCTGCCTAGTAGTTCTTAGTGCAGTACAAATCCCTTATTAGTGACTTCCACTCTAATTTTCAAGAAAACCATTGAGAAAGTATTTCTTGAGATGTCTACTTCCTAGAACCATTTGGAATTATCTTCCCCATTAACACCATGGAGATGCTGCCCTGATCTCTGACTGCAGACGGACAACAGTAATGACAGATCTATATGATGGCAATCTAATAGATCTCTTCCCCTGAGAAGGAAACTGCATACAGATGTAATGAGCAAAGCATTTTGAACTATTTTTATTTTAAAAAATCTTATGTCATCCCTGTGTATCCCTATGGTACCCTGAAGGCTACATTCCAACTGTAATTGAAGACTTCTGCTAGTACCCAACTCTGTTTACTCAACCAGTTATTGCCCAGTTTAAAGTAACTGTGAGCTGGAACATGAGCTATTAATAAAGTGTCAGGAAAGCAGCACAGTTATATCCAACAAGATGTGCATTCCTGTTCTGTTGGTACATACCTCAGGCATGTTATGAGCTCACAACACCTAAGCCATCCACCGACAGCCCAGGAATGTGCACCTCATTCTAGTAAGGCACCTAATTTCCATTCAAAATATACTCCCTGTTTCTGAAATGTGGGCTATTCTCCACAACAGTAATTAATATTTAGTATTTATTTTGTGATAAATACCTAATGATATGACTAGAGAGAAGCATAAGCCAGCAGATGCAGATTTGCATCTGGCATGGGGAGGGCTATTGGTCTGCACCTGTCTCTGGTTATAAACTGTATTTCAGCCATTGTTTAAAGAAAATCACAGTGCAGGGAAGGGAATGAAAATAAAAGGCCAGATCCTTAACTGATATAAATGCACATAACTCCACTGATTTTAATGGAAAAGCATTGAAACAGCACTTGGGGATCTGAACCAACCATCATCACCGCACACACATCACTCCAAACCTGTACTGAACAACACCAGTACATGTTAAAGCCTCTCTTCCAGATAGCTGTAGGGTTTTGAGACCACTGATAGAAAGAGGAAATTTTGGTATGATGCACTAACAGGATGGATGAGAAAGGGTCCACCCACAGCCTTTTGTCCAGCGAGTAGCCCCAGAGGCTTTAAATTGTAGCCATCAAAAGTAGATGTTAAGCAGAAAATATGTACTTCATTATCCTCTAATCATGCATACCCTGTGATTTTGTAAACTGACATGTCTGTGTAGAAGTAAGCGGCACCACCTCCACAGCTACAGCACACTGCTTTCCCAGCAACACCAGGAGCAGTTTGGTAGACACCCACCATACTTTGTGCAGTTACTTTGACTGCCCTGCTGCACTTTCAGTTGCTGCCTTGCTGGCTGGCTGCTATGTTGCATGGATGGAAAGAAAGAATAGTTCTGGCTGTCCCACTGATCCTCCCCTAACAGGTTGAGAGAGGCAGGAGGGGAAGAAGGAGGAGAGGGGAAGGGCTGTACTTATTGCACTGTTTGAAGGCACATGTACACGAAACGTTTACTGTGCAGTTGACTAATTAGTTGCTCAGTAAATATCACACATATACACATGCACCCCTATCAGGCTGGAGTAAACTAATTAAACTTATACAAGTACTATCCTGCTGTGGAGTAAAAAACTGCAGCAGCACACATGTAGACACTGCCCCAGCTGCCTGGTGCACAAGGGTGCTTCAATGTGGGGCCTGCCTGCTGACTAGCCCTGCACTTAAGTACCCTCATGCTCTGGTCAGCCCCTCCACAGCACACTGAGCCGAGGGAAGCAGCCTTGGGCTGGCAGGCTGATCCCTTCAGGCCTCGTGCCATCTGGAACTGCTCCAACCCAGCTCAACATGCTATGGTCCCAGGAGCAATAAACTTTGGTGCTTGTGGCACCGGGAAAGCACTGGAGTTTATTGCATCACATTAATATGCATGTATAGACACACCCTGAATGTAGGGATTTGATCCCCTCATCTCCACAGGATACCATTGCACTGGACAAATAAAGAGTAGACAGTCAAATTTAAGAACCAATTATGGCTCCAGGATTATCTGCTTCTGTATAGGTAAGAGCAGCCTGGGGACTGTTCTCACTTGCAGCTGTTGGCTGTGGTACCCCCAAAACCAGCTGATGAAAGAGTGCAACATGCATTAATCCCATCTGTTCATAACTCATCCTCTAGAACCTGTCAAAAGGGAGGTCTAGAGCCAAACATGCTGGTACTGCACCAACCATGGACCCTGCCCATGCTGAGGGACTCCATAGGTAGGGACCTGTGAGTAGCTTTTGCATTACAGATGCAATGGAGAATGCCAGGAAATCTGCCCCAAAATATTTATTGGGAACTCTTGGCCACTTTGAAAAAATATATTTGCCTAAAAGACTGAACACAACTGACTTGTGGGAACCCAGCAGTGGGGGAGGCAGGAATAACCATGAGTATCCCAGAGTTTCTTGCTGTTCATCTACCTTCATTACTTCATAGGAAGTCAGGATAGCTGTGGCTCCATACTGTGCTGTGCTGAGAGTTGCAGCTAGTGTCACTAGCCCATTTCCAGCCTGTTCTCTCCTCCTTTTGCCTCTTACTGAGTTACATCTGACACTCATGGAGACGGCCCTCACCAGACTGCTTTCTCCCCTGGGAGATTTGTCACAATGGATGCAAACACAGTCTTGGTGTTTTCCACTTGATTATTCCAGCATTGAGCTGAAACACAAATGCAGCATGTGTTTGCAGCATATGGAGGTCAGCATCTGCACAGAGTGACTTGCATTTGAAATGTCTCCCATTTTCCTTGTAATGTGCCCCTTTCCCCTCACATTGGTGAGTAACAGGGAAGATGTGGCATTTCCAAAGTGTTAAGGAGAATTCATTTTCTTATTCCCTAAGGTTACAGACACTAGCTGTTTTCTGTTTTCTCATTTCATGATGAGTTGCATGATAGGCTTGGTCCATAAACTTGATTTATCTAAAACTCCCTATCATTTTCTTATGCAGGAATTTAACACCGTGCAATTGCATATGTGCTGAAAACATATTTAAACATTCTTAGGTGAGATTCACCTTTTATGCAGAAGCCTGTCTAATAGGGCTGTGCAAAGCTTCAGTCCCAGATTCGATTTGGCAGAGATTCAACCTGATTTGGTGGCCGAATCTCCCAATCCAAATTGAATCAGGAGACCCTTTAATCTCTCCAAATTGAATTGGAACCCTCCGAATCATTCAGACATAGACAGCTTTAAATGTTATTTCTACATAACTCAACATACCAGGCAGCTCATGCATGCTGAGATGCTGGGGTGGATGGAACGTCCCACAGGAGTGCAGGGGGCTCCCCAGCATGCTCAACAGCAGACCCAGAGAGAACCAGAAGCACTTCCAGGCCACTTCCGGGTCTGCCGTGGAGCACGCTGGGGGGCTTCCCTGTGTCCAACCCTGGCTCGGCGACTGGTAACCCGCAGCCGATTGCCGAGCCGGGTGGGTGCGCAGGGGCTCCCCAGCACGCTCAGTGGCAGACCTGGAAGTGGACCAGAAGTACTTGCGGTCCACTTCAGGTTCACCGCTGAGCCTGTGGGGGGGGCCCCCCGCACATTCCTGTAGGACGCTCCATTTGCTCCATCATTGCAGTATTCATGAGTCGCACCTGGTACCTCAAGGTATGTAGAAAAAACATTTAAAGCTGTGTCTATGGCTGAATCACTGATTCTCTGAATCAGCATTGGATCTTCAGATTTGGATTCAGCTAAATCAAATCGGGAACAGTGATCCGAATCAACTAATCGAATCATTGTCCCCAATTTGGGCTGAATCCGAATCAAAAAGAGCCCATTTCTTATACCCCTAATGTCTAAGGCCTATGTACCACTGTAGGCCCTATTTATTATTCGTGTCTCAGAATTGGGCATAGGCTTTGTCTTGGTTGCCTGAGCAGGGATGAATTTCAAATGTTTATGAAAGCAAAAAGTATTAATAAGCCAACTTAACCAGCAGACTCTGGCTGCTTTGTGCTACTCAAGCAACACAAAGCAGTTGTAAACCCAGTGTAATTGGCTTGTTAAACCAGGCCTACAGCTGCTCTCTGAACCCAGGGCAGTGCAAAGGTGATGGAATACACCATTAAATTTGATCAAGTATTTTAAAATATGAAATTCTTTATTTGACTTATGAATTAAAAAGGATGGAGTAAAATCAGAGTAAAAAAAGCTTATGGGCATTATGATTCGGTCTGTTAGAAGCAAGCCTTTCAGCACATAGTTGAACTAGAACTCTATCAACAATACTGACTAAAACCTTGGTTCATCTTGGATTTTTTTCCCTTTTACCTCAGAGCAATACTGTAAATCATATTTGCGAGAATGAAATATCTACCTTATCCCAGTTGTAGCATGAAACAGACAGAGTAAGTGGCAGTTTAATTTAAGATGAACAAATGATAAGTAGAGAGCCAGAGAGTATATTGGATTTAATTAAAAGGGGGCATACTTTATCTTCTTGGATTATATGAATGTTTTTTTCTTACCTCTCCCTCCTCATAATAGTTTCTTTGGAGTTGAATGAAAGGGATCAGATGCTGTTGAGAAAAAATGGATGTGGCATGAAAGAGACTTCATTTGCTTTTGGCATCTTCCTCTTCCCCCACCCCCCATTTTTTTTTTTAAAGAAATATTCACTCTCATGTTCTGCAGGAATTATCCAAACATGATAATAAATAACCTCTCCCGCAATGACTACCAGGGTCTCAGTCTCATGTCTTGTAAAGCACATAAACTGTGATTTAAATATAAGTATATTAACACACTCTTCTTGCAGTGATTTGGAATGACCTCTGCTATGTGTGGCCTGATTTTTTCCCACTGTAAGCATGATACTGGAGAGGCAAACCTTTTCCCTCCATGCTAAACATATGCATCTGGACACCCTTCCCTCACCGCCCCAAAATTCATTTCTAACATCCATTTATGTTTGTTTTACAGTTGTTCAACACATCAAGAGACACAATATTGTTCTAAAAAGAGAGCTGGGAGAAGGAGCTTTTGGAAAAGTCTTCCTGGCTGAATGCTATAATCTCTGTCCTGAACAGGACAAGATCTTGGTGGCAGTGAAGGTAAAGAGTCTACAATTTCCATTATTAATTCATGGTTGCAACGAATGCTATTTTATTTGTAAACGATCATGTTTGCTTATTCAGTAGCCCCAGCATAACTCCTGTGATATATGTGCAAGGGTTCACAAGGCTAATGGAATGTCAAGAGAACATGATATTTGATCTTGCTGTAGCGTATAAAATGAGAACTGAGTTTCATAAAGAAAAGAGGAAAATTAACAGTCACAAAAGGGACAACATTTTTTATGATCTATCTGAAATATGATGATTGAAAAGGCGTAGCTAAATATGTTATTAAAAATATACGTGGTACCATATTTGTATGTCTAAAAAATCTATAGCTAGCCACATGATTAAGGTGCACATGTAATTTCTAGTCAAAGAAGAATTATTTCAGAAACATTCATGTGATTCTTAGTCAACTGCTGAAACTGTATGTG